TGGGTGAGGGAAAGGCTGTGGATGTTGTCTGCCTTGACTTCAGTAAGGCCTTTGACACCATTTCCCACAGCATTCTCCTGGCAAAACTGTCTGCTCATGGCTTGGATGGACACACGCTTTGCTGGGGAAAAAAATGTCTGGATGGCCGGGCCCAAAGAGTTGTGGTGAATGGAGTTAAATCTGCTTGGCAGCCAGTCACGAGTGGTGTCCCCCAGGGCTCAGCCCGACCCACTCTCTTCGCAGCGACGCCATCACCCTGCTGCGAATTGAGGTGGAAATGTTTGAGAAATGGTGCCGTAAGTTGGAGTCGTGCGGGCCCTCGCTCCAGCCGCTGTCCCAGCCGCAGGACGCCCCGCCGGAGCTGATGCAGGTACAGCTTCAGGGCCGGGACTCTGCCTGCCTGGCCCCAGGTGTTATAAACTGACTTCTTAAAATTGGCTGAGTCAGAGTTCCCAATTTCTTTATTTAGCAAGCGGCAACAAGCTAAACAGCGCTGAGCAGCCGGGGAGTCTCCTGCTCCAACAACGGACCGCACCCTCCAGGGCATTCTGTTTCAATCTTATACTACAAAGTATTACATAGTCATTATACACATATACATATTCATTACTTGAACCCGCCTACTCTCGCTTCGTATGGTAATTAGCTTATCAGTCCTTTATGCTTGCGCAGAAGTTGTTAAAACTACGGTCAGGGGTCTTCAAATCATGGGGGGTGGTCTTCTGGGAGGAAGGCCATAGGTCCTCCTCACCGTGTACGTTTCACCTTTCACTTGGAATGTGATGATCCTCTGAGTTTGCAGAGTTCTTATCAGTCTAGGCCCAGTAATCTCTTTGCATAATGAGATTCATGGTCGTGAACATCCTCCTGTTTTATTCAATTATGCGCCTGCAATTCTCCACATCTTCTGATGTACAGATGCTCCCTCTCTTGTTGTTCCCCCCTCCTCTTTCCTGTAATTTTTTTTTTTACACTATCATGTTAGTGCAATTAAGCATTTGCTGTTAGTATTACACAATATGCAGTAGTTCATATTACAGTTCACTGAATTTGATGAACAAACAGTTTACCACCTATCACACCAGGTACCAGCTTTGCAGGCGCGGGTGCCACCGTACTGCACAGAGCCATGAGCCTTCCTCCTTCGCAGCTCCTCTGAGCTCACTGCTCGTCGGGAGGCCAGCAGGCAGCTCCTCAGTTTGAAATGTGAAGTCCCACAACAGCCCTCTGCACTTGGGCTTCACAGTGACGAGCCTATAACCTAGACACCTGCTTGTAGAAAGGTGCTGCTGCTCTGTAGGTGTAAGAGTTTGGGCTGCCTTGCCCTTCCTGCGCTCAGTGTAAAAGCCAGGCTGTCTTCTCATTTCTCCTCCTTCGGCTGATGCTGTCTCTTCCCTTGTGTGACAGCAGCGTGTCCTCCTGAGCAGTGAGTGCCAGGGAGATCTGGAATGAGTTAACCTCCACACAGCATAATTTGAAGTAGAAGTTGAACAAATAGGGCATCTGGTGCCAAGAAAGCAGGAGATTTGCCCAGGGCCATGCCAAGTCTGATGCTCTTCTTACTCCCGGGGAAGTTCACATGGGCTCAGACCTGCATCCACAATTGGATACCTCCACTGAGGACGTGCTGCTCTCTTCCTTCTTGCAGGAGCCATGAACAGGCTTTTGGAGCAGATTTTTACCTCCTGGCCTGAACATTGCCTTTTCACCAGAGACACTGTGAACAGAAGCTCTAGACCCTTTATTTGCTCCTTTCAGCTAGCATTGTGCAGTGGGATTTAGCACCTGCCTGTGTCCAAAGTAGCTGCTTTGTCCCAGACAGAGCCCTTAGAAACTTTGCCTTTGGCCAGGTGAGCACTTGCCCTCTGCAAAGCTGTGCCTGCCTTGCTGTGTCCCCACGGCACCGGGCATTGCTCCCAAGTGGTGTCAGTTCTTCTGAGAGCATTACTCCAGCCTGCCCATGCTGCAGTAAGCTCAGCTCCTCAGGGCATCTGGCCCAGGCAGTGGTAGGAGACCTCATCTGTCATACACAACAATCAGCATCTTCCTTATGAAGAGGTGTTTTACCTGCCCCATGTGAAGCTGTTGCTCCAGCTTTAACCTGTAGCTCTTGATTTGCCTGTTGAATTGAACTGAAAGTGCTTGTGTAGGAGGTTTTGTGGGTGGATGAGAGGACAGATGGGGTCAGCCCAGGCATGGCTCTGAGTTACCTCTGCTCTGGAGAGGCTCCCTTGTCCTTGCTGTGAACTGGAATCCCTCTAATGTGACTATTGAGGTTCTTTTCTTTTTGAATACAGGAAAGTGCAGCCACAGTTGGACAGTGCTGGCTTTCTAATGGCATCTGCCTTGTTCCTTGGTTGTTGCAGATACGTGGCAGGTGCAAATCCAAGTTGCATAGTGTGACAGACTGTACTGTAGGCCTGACAGTGGAGCAGAAATGTGAACTGATTGAGTGGGAGCTGGCTGAGGTGAAGGATGAGATTCAGAGGATGAAGGAGGACTCGGAGCAGACCCTGCAGAACCCTGAGGTATGGATCTCTGGGACCCTTATGATCACCAAGGTGTCAGTCTTGTTTCTTTTCACACCTCTTTCAATATGCCATCCCTCAGGCAGTGAGACAGACTTGCTTGGTGAGGGCTGTTCACAGCAGAGCATTCCTGTGAGTGGTTCTGGGTTGAGAGTGGGAGCCAGAACTGTCCTCTCACCTCACCCCTTTCCTGAAGGCAAGTACACCAAAAGAGATCAGAGGTGCCCAGTCACTAAAGATGGATCTTATTATGGCAGGAACTAATAACAATACAGGCAAGGTGAAGATTTTTAGAGAAGCTCAGATCTGCTGTGTGAGATGAAAAGGTCAACACTTGAAAGAAAGATCTCCCTTTTGTCACTTTCCTGAAGGTGTGCCCTTTGTGCCAGACCTATTTTTAATTCTAGCAGCTCCCAGAAGCTCCCTGATTTGGCTGGGCTCCATGCAGTCCTCTCTGGGGTCTGCCTTTCCACTGTCTGGGATTTCTTCAGAGCTCTGAGTCTATGAAACTGACTTCCTGCTGCTGTATCACCATCTGCCTGCCCTGTGCTGGCTGCCAAGTCCCCTCCTAGCCAAGATGCTCTGGAGCTTTTGGGGAAGGAGAGACTTCTGCATTTGGTTCAGACCACCCATGCTGCCTACAGTGTCCAGGAGAGGTGGAGCAGGCAGCCTGTCCCTCTTGTGTGGCCACAGGGCATCTGCAGTGAACAAAGGGTGGTAATTTGTCTTGTGTTGGCTTAGTCAGGCTGGCAATCTTTGTAGGTCAGGATGGAGTGACATCTGTTGAAGCTGAGGCATGCGAGAGATTTCTTCGCTGTTCTGTTTGAGTCAGTGAAGTAGCAGTGCTGTGTGAGCCAGCACCATGTACCCTGAGCTGCACAGGGTGAAACTCAGTGATCCCACAGGAGAAATGCTTGTGCCACTAGAGAGCATGCCTGGTCCTTTCTGGTGTTCTCTGTTCCTAAAGCTGTTTGAATGGGGGAAGTTAGCTCTGTTCTGTAACTTTATTTCTGCAGGCAGTCATTGAAGAAGCAGATATTTGGTGGGCTGATATTAAGAAATCCATCAGTGACTTTGAGAAAGACATCATGAGCTCTATATCCAGCAAGAAAGGGAGTAACACAGCTTCTGAGAAGGTGCTGAGATACCTGGAGGAGAAGAACCACCAGAGGGTCAGTGCATCATGGAAAATTTGGAGGCTGGTCTGTCATCTGTCAAGTATATTGGTTAGGGAAAATCCTAGTCCCTGCACTCCTGTGTGGCCTGCATCATGTTTCCAGACTGTCTTAGCAGGTCTGTTTGGACAATCTTTGTCACACTTGGCTGTTGGTGAACTAGCCCAGGCGCCCACCAGGCTGCTGAGCTGTAGCACAGCTGTGAGCACAGGGGATGCAGGGAGGGCCCTTATGAGGCCCAGGAAGGCCCATGGCCATGGGCCCACGTTTGGGGCAGGGTGGTGCTGAGCAGAGTTTCTCGCTGGGCTCCTTTCTAAGCCAGCAGTGAAGACTGCAGTATGGGTGAAATGAATGGGAACTGCACCGTAAGGAGTGGGGTCTGGGTGCTCTTTCTCCTCGCGGGCTCTGCTGGCCCACTGAAATCTGCTGTCTTTCTTTATGATCTGCTGAGAGAGAAGTTGCTCTCAGAAAACTGTTTGCTCAAGGATTACAAGAAGAAGCTGCAGCAGCAGCTCAGGCAGGTGCGTGTGGCAGTTGAGGAGAGCAGGGACTCAATGGCCCCTTGAAGAATAAAAGTAGAGGCAGTGCAGATGCAAGGCCTGCTCTGTGCAGAGACGCGTGGCCCTCTTCCTCCTCCCCTTCCTCTGTTGCTCCTGGCCTTGCTGCCTTTGTCAAAGGGCACTGGTGTCCAGGTTCAGATCTGGCACATGTCTGCATGCATGGGATGAGACCAGAAGTCTCACAGCGTGGAAGCTGGCAGATGCCTTTGTGCCATTCGTGCCCTGGAAAAGATGTATGGTGGCTCCTCTCCCTGGGGACTGGCTGCTGCTGGCATGGCAGGAGGCTTGCCAGAGGGACCTCTCTGCACTGGTTGAACACTTGAAGCTAGGACACACAGCACAGGCTCAGTGGCACGCTGTGTCTTGCATTTCTCCCTGAGCCCCAGGTTTTCAGCTAGGCTGAAGAACCTGTTCTTTAGGTCTGCTTTCCCCACAGAGCAAAGCTCTGCAGCTGTGGTCAGCAATTTACAGCTCTTCTTCCTTGGGGTCTGCAGAAGGACCAGATGGGAGAGACACTCTGTGAGGTTCAAGTGCAGCAGCTGAAGGTTAGAAATGCCCAGTACCAGGAAAAGATCAAGGAGAAGAATGAGGAGCTGCTGCAGCTCAAACTGACCTCCCAGAAGACCACCCAACTCCTCAACTTCTATAAAGTGAGTGAACCTCCCAGTGCCTCCATTTTGCCTTTCTTCTGTTTACCTGAAAGGAAGCTGCAGAGAGCTGGGTTTGAGCCTCTTTAGCCTAGTAGTAAGCGACAGGACAAAAGGGAATGGCCTCAAGTTGTGCCAGGAAAAGTTTAGACGATGTCAGGAAGTATTCTTTACAGAAGGGGTTGTTGGGTGTTGGAATGGGCTGTGCAGGGAGGTGGCGGAGTCTCCATCCCTGGAGGGGTTTAAGCGTAGGGTCGATTTAGAGTTTAAGGATATGCTGTAGGTGGGAACTGTCAGTGCTAGGTGAACGGTTGGACTAGGTGATCTCCAAGGTCCTTTCCAACCTAGATGATTCTGTGATTCTGTGATAGTCACACACGAGCTGATTAACAGCTCTTGCATCCTTCCCTTTCTCAGTTAGAGGATGCTGAACACCTCCCTGCCTTCCCACTGACTTAGCCATTCAGCTGGGAGATTTGCCTCACACACCAAAAGCAGCAATGCCCTTATTCATATTTGACTGCAGCCTGATGATGGGGTTCATGCTTCGCTTATTTTACACCCCAGGGGAAAAATTCCAGTAGGAAAGAGCTTTAGTGCTGCCTTGCACAGGAAAATACATTTTTTACATAACTTGTGACATTTGAAAAGATGTCATGAGCTGCAGCTGCTGCTCTGAGTCTCTGCTCTTACCAGTGAAAAGTGCTTCTGAGCTGGGTGTGTTTGCTTCTCTCTGATCAGCCTTTCTTTCTGGGTCGGCCCTGAGCCCCAGCTGCTGTGCAGGGGGCTGTGCTCTCCTGTGACACAAGGACAGAAGGAAGCAGTCGCTGTGTGACCAGTGCATGATGCTGCCTTCTGCAGGGGATGAGTGGTGCCGCAGAGCTCCCTCAGGAGCAGAGCTCCTGCACTGCCAGCTGGGACCAGGCTGGAGGAGTAGAGGGGTGGCTTTGGAGGTGACTGGGAGCTGCTGCTGCTCTTGCTGATGCTGTCCTGCTTTCGTGTTCCAGAAGAAGCTGCAGGACGCCATGGAAACGTCCACTTCTCTGATGAAAGACATCTCCCAGAGGAAAGAGCTGCTGAAGAAAATTCGAAGAGAAGCTGCTCTGGTGGAGGAGGTAAGAAAGCGATTTGGAAGGCCCTGAGACTTCACTTAGGAGGACTCTTTTGAGGTACTATTTGTTGTATGTTGGATACCACCTGAGGCCTGGCAGTGAGCTGGACACCTGTGTGCCTTTCTGGGTCTGAGCAACTCCTGGAGCTTCTGCTGGTGCCAGCGAGCACAGGCAGGTTTGCAGAAGAGGTCACATTTTGGCCCTGGCTCCACAGGCACCTACCACTGGCTTCCTGAAATGCTGTTTCCTTGAACTTTTCATCAGCAGTATCCTTCTCAGGGATAGTGGCACTGCTGTCACACCAGTCTGGGAACACATAACCTTGTAGGGACACCACAGCTTTGGGAATCAGCTTTGACAGGCTTCCTAGCAGTGCTGCCCGGCAGGGATGGAGGCACCCGTGGATGCATCCCATGCTCCTCCCCCAGTGCTGGGGGTTTAATTTAACCTGCCTGCCTCCTTCCCTGGAGGACTGGCAAGCAGCTGACAGACATTTCCTTGGGATTCCCTTGCCCTTTGTCCTTATTTCTCCGACAGCAACGAGCCGAAGCTGAAAGAGTGAATCGGCAGCTGCGGAAGAAGCTCTCAGAGTACAGAGGCCCCTCCGTGCTGAGTTACGTTCAGAAGAAGATGGCAGTTGCTGACCTCGAGAAGAGCATCAAGGTTTGGCAGAGGAAGGTGGCAGTTGCTGAGGTGAGCAAGACTGGGCCGGGTGTGCGGGAGCCCACATATGCGCCAGCTGGGTGCTGGGGAGCCACGGCTGTGCCTGCCGCTGTCCCGGGGAGCCGGGTGCTCGCTGCCCACCTGGCAGAGCTGGAGGCTCTTCCTACTCACCAAGCTGTGATCGCTCCCTACCCCGAGGACAGAGGCTGGTTTTTAATGACACAGCTCAGAGGGGAAGCCCAGGCAAGGACACAGCTTGTAACTGGACAGGAAGCACCATCAGACTGTGGCTACACTGGAATGTGTCACATGTGTAAGGGGAAGGGGATGTGTGGCAGCCCAATACATTTCCGACTGCATATGAAACCTGACTCAGCCTTTTCCAGCGCCCCTGATGGCTCCCCAGTGTTTGTAGTCCTCTTTGATAGTCTCAAACATTTGTTACTTGCTCGTATCTTGACTCCTCCCTAATAAGGAGAGGCTGGTCAAGATCCAAACGGGAGTGTGTGGCAAAATTGCAAGAATTTCTCACAGGTGATTAGTGACAGAACAAGGGGGAATGGCTTTAAACTGCAACAGGGGAGGTTCAGACTGGACATTAGGAAAAAATTGTTCGCAGAAAGAGTGGTCAGAGAGTGGAATAGGCTGCCCAGGGAGGGGGTGGAGTCCCCATCCCTGGGTGTGTTTAAGGATCCTTTGGATGAGATATGGGGGACATGGGGTAGGGGAGAACTTTGTAGAGTCAGACTGAGGGTTCAACTTGATGATCCCAAGGGGCTTTTCCAACCTGAATGATTCTGGGATTTTAATATCTTTGACTCTTCTTCTGCCCCAGCTCCTGCAGCCTGAGAGGAGATGGAGAGATAAAACAGAGGAGCAATAGTCAAAGACTGGAGGTAGCAGGAGATGTCTGTATCCCTGCGCCATGTGCACAGCAGCGTGGGGAGGGAAGTGGCTGTGTTGGGTGGGACAGAGAGTGTTGTGCTGTATCTTGACACCCTGCTCGTCCTCGAGTGGCAATGGGCTTAGCTGTGGCTGGGACGGGGAAGGCTCTGAGCTTGTGTCTGTCCAGCACTTAACCCTCCAGCACCCCAGCCTGCAGTGGACAGTGCTTATGTGGTCCAGCATTTCTCAGAGGCCAGAACTGTGTCGATTTGGGCTTGACCCATCAGCACCAGTGCTATGAGATCAGCTACCGCGGAGTGGTGGCAGCCTCCTGCAGGCCTGTCTTTGCACAAGCAGATCCCTTCTCACCCAGCTGCTCCCCTGACCAGGCTCTGGCTTGTATGCTGTCTGTGCAGCATTGCCCAGAGTCCTGCCAGCCTCTGAGAGCTGGAGAGCAGCGAGGGCTCCAGGGGCTAAAGAAGGAACCTATAGCTGTCCCTGGGATAAGACTGAGGCTATAAACCTGTTTTCTTTGCTGGCCCCCTTTGTGGCAGGGCATGTCCAACACTCCTGCTACCATGCAAGGTACTGTAGGTTTCTATACAGTGCTGTTGTGTGGGGTCTGCAGGTTTCCTGTGCCATTCAGGGGAGAAACCAGAGCTGGCGTAGACCTCCAGGAGCTCTCCTCAGCATGCCACAGTGAGCACTGAGCTCAGCTGGGAGCAGGGTGGGATGAACGGGCAAGCAATACAGCAGCTCAGGCCAGGCTAGATTCCAGCCTTGCAGCCTTCTCCACAACATATCGCTTCTGTCTGAACATATTAAGGCCTTTTCCTTTCTCCTCTTGCAGATGACCTTGCAAAGCTATCGCAGAGCATGGAACAAGGTCAAGATGTCTGGTAACCAGTACTAGTCTTGTCTGATGCTGCAAGGCAGGCAGTGGAAGCTGCAGAAGGAGCCAACCCTGTGGGGAAGTTGGCTGTCAAGTGGGTAAATGTAGCACCCTGCAAGCTGCAGTGAAATGAAACCACTTCTGTGTGAAGCGATAAAGAAGCCCATGTCTCTGCTGTGAGGCTGTCTCCTTGGTCTGTCCCAGCATGTGCTGACTTCCACCAGGCTCTGCTGCCTGGCCCCTCTGCAGGCCCTGCTAGGTCAGCGCCTCTCCCCATCACCACAAGCAGTTTTTCTTGGGTAATCAAACCTGACATGTTCACAGGAACTGTCCCTTCTCTCTGGGCAAGCCCTGGTGATCACTTAATGCAGGAGGAACCAGAGGGGGTTCCCTGGGAGACGTGGGAGTTCAACATCTCCAAGTGTGCCCTGACAGTAGAAAAGAGCAGTGTGAGCATATAGGGCAAATCATTTCAACATGGCATACACGAACCAAGCAGGCTTTCTGATCACAAAAGGGCACTTCATTTACCTAAAGAAACGAAACAGCAAGAAGGAAGCAGCTACCCCTTTCCCAAGCACCTAGGTCAAGTGTAAGTGTCACTTGGAGATGGGAAGCGTTTTCCCACTGCAGGAGTTATAAATCATCTCAGATGGCTCAGCCTCAGATGAGTTCAGGTCTATCTTTCCCTTCTTGGTGTTGAAACCAACTTCCTGATATGTCCCCACTGCTGGCCTGGAAGCCTCCTCCCAGTCTTTGGGAGCAGCCTGCAGATCCACTCACACCCTGACTAGGGTGGGGAACGCGGGAGGCCCTGTCCTCTTGGTGCTGGCCACGACCCAGTTGCTGTAGTTGGACCCTGGGGTGTACAGGAGCAGTCTGTAGCTGCCCTGACTGGGCATGCCTGTCGGGACTCATTTCTCAGTCCCTCTAATCAGGCACATGACGGGTTGCCAGCATAACCCTTCTGAGAGACGAAAAAGGCAGGGTTGTGCCTCAGCAGTGCCCCCCTGCCATCACTCCCAGTGGCTGTGGACTTCACCAGGGTGAGAGGAGGGCACTGGTGCAGGGGGCTGGGTGATGTCCCTTTGTGCCCCCGATGAAGTGACTGGCATCACTTCCTGTGCCTGCCCGTGCCCCCATCTGCCCAGCCCCGTGCCTGGTCCTTCGGTGTGTACCACAAGGAACCCCTCTGGGTTTTGCCTCCTGAGCATCTCTGACTCCGGCCACGTTAAAGGCCTTTGGAGGCCCCGTCAGCAGGAGAGGGAGCAGGAGCAGTGCCCGCAGGGCTGCAGGAAGACGGTCCCTCCGCAGCGCATGCAGAGATGCCTGTCACATGTTCAGACAGTCTCCCACGCCTGCTATTTGCAAGCTGTGCAGAAGGGATCTTCTCCTGTGAAGACTGAGCAGAATAAGGCCAACAAGTGTTTTGGCTGCTTTCCCAGTCTGGAGTCAGAGATGAGCAGAATGGGGAGGAGGCAGTTTGCCTGAATGTCTGCCCGCTCTGGGCTGGCGCGCTTTGTCCCTTACCAAACAGCCTGCCACATCCTTGCTGTCCCCGTGGCTGCAGCAGGCGGTTGCAGCAATTTTTTTCAGTGGGCAGGGATCCACCACGGAGAGCATATTTGGGAAATTGCGGTGGCACTTTCAGCTGCCTGGCCGGGGGACCACTGTGAGCCTGTGGTTTTGGGCAGCCCCTGGCCTCCAAAAAGCGGGGATGGGTGACCAGTGGATTCTGGTTTCTCCCAGGACAAGCTCTGTTCCCTTTCCTGCTGTCGGGGATGTTGGCAGGAGGGAGCAGGAAGGTGGCTCCCCACCCTGCCAGAGGGACCTCTTTGCTGCAGGAGCCAGGGATTACTTGGGGTGGGATGGATGCAGCCTGAGACCCAGCAATTTGTGAGGTCTGAGGCAGAGAGTCTCCCATGGAGTAAGTGGATGGGCTGAAGGATGCTGCTGAACTCCTGTGGGGCGGATGTCCTGAGCAGAGGGACATTGTAGAGCATCTCCTTGTCAGAGTCCTCATGGGGGATGACAGTGCTGCTCAGATACTGGGGCTGGTCCTCCCAGCACTTCCTTGTGACACTCAGCCCAACCTGCTGCCTGCAGGGAGTTCACAGAGGGGTCTGGGGCAAACTCTGCCTGCCCCTGCTCTGACTGAAGGATGCTTGCCCAGATGCTGGGCAGCCACAGGATCCTCCGGAGCACTGGGGTGGGAGGGGGAATTCCCTGCTGATTCCCAAACTTTGCCTGGGGTGACTCAGGGCCCTTCACAGGGTATAGACCTACTCTGCAGGCTGGATGTGGTGCTGAGGATCCAGTGCTCTTTCAGGATGGAGATGAAGGCCAGGAGGTTGCTCTGTGCATCCTGCAGTGCCACCACCCACAGGGACTGGTCTGCAGCAGCAAACTCCTGCACTGATCGCTGGGGGGACAGGCTGACCTGGGCCCCGCAGGCTGTAGTGAAACAGGGGGCACGTCGCTGGGTGTGCTGGGCCCGAGACTCTCCTGCCGCCCCCCTCACCCCTCTGATGCCCCTTGCTGCGGCCGTGCTGAGCTTTGACGTTGCCTGGGACTGCACCAGCATCGCCCAGGCTTGCCCGCCTGCGGGGCTGTGCTGGTGGCGTGGTGTGCAGCGTGTGAGGGTCAGACCAGCCACCTGGCGCTGGGGCGGTGCATAGGGACAGGGGCACAAGGCTTCACGCTGCCCCAGCTGAGCCAGGGCCCCCCTTCTCTGCCTGCCTGCGGGCAGAGGGGGAGATGGTGTGCTGGGTGTCAGCTGGCAGTGGGCCTGAAGGGGGGGCTTGGTGTGCCGGTGCTGAGCATGCTGGGCTGTTTCCACATGGGTGCTGCACGTCCCAAGCATCCTGACAGTGGGCAGGGACACAGGGAGACACAGTGGGCCTATTCCCAGCTCCCCCCCTCTCTCCATAGGCCTCATCCTGATGCGCTCTGCACGCTCCATCATGCCTCTGGCAATACCGTGCTGTCCCCACACTGCCCTCCTGCTCCCGTGGTGCCCTGGCAGCAGGATGTGGGCACAAGCTGCACTCTGAGCTCACCGTCACTGCGGCAGCTTGCAGGAACCTGCTGGCATTCCCGCACGGTGGAGGGGGCTGTTGAAGGCTCTAGCAGCGCATCTGCCTGCTCAGAGGGTCTCCGAGGCACAGCTCCTCCTGCCCTGGATGCTGCTGGATGGTTTCTGCCTGGAACAGCCTGTCCTGCTCCACTGATCCCACTCGTAGGCAGCAAGGGCAGCAGGAGGCAGGAGTAGCTCTGGTGCTCCTTAAGGGGATTTATAACACACTGAAGGATCCCAAAGTGCATGAGGGTGGTGGTTAGGAAACCTGGAGGGCAGTAGTTGCTGTTACAGGGGCACCACCAGGCTACAGCTGCCTGCATCTGGGCTTTTCCATGTGGAGATCCCGGTGGTGACAAGAATTCCCTTCTCCGGTCATGAAAGGCCAAGGGTGCCTTTGGAGGGCAGGACAGAGAAGGTGGGATTGTTTGAGGGATGTGAAAACTCCATATTTCCATCAAAGATGAGAAAACTTGAGAAATAGGAATTAGAGTACCCCTTGCATGCACTAATGAAGAGCCACAGGTGGAAGGAGCTGGTGAGATGCAGAAAGCAAAGGCACGGGGGCTCGTGGGGGGCTGACACACTCCCAGCAGGTTACCCCAGATCACTCTTCTCCCTGCAGAGGTGTGTGGTGGCTGCAGACGCACATGCCCAGACCAACCCCCTTGGGTGCCCTCTGCAAAACTGGGGAAAAGGACAGCCAAAGGGAAACAGTGCTGGGAGAAGGCTGGAGGGAAATCCAGGTTTGAGCACTTGTTTAAACCTGCATACAGACTAAGGCAGTATCAGCTGAGTGGATTTCTTCCCAGCATTTGAATATATGTTTATTATATGCAGAATTAGCAAGGGCAGGGTCCATGCCATGGCATGTTTAGGACAGGGGCATCCCAGGGAAACCTTGGATTTTTTTTTTTATGCTTGTCTTCTTCCCCCAGGATATAGTCAGTCCTGCAAGTAGGAAATTCAGTACTCTGTGGTCCTGCAGGACCTCTGCTAGTGCTCATCTGTCCCACTGAGAAGGGCCTTTCCTGGGCATTATCCCTGGCTCTTGTGATGTTGTGTTTGAAATGCCACGGGAATCAGCTGGGAGGCAACTGATGATCCCAAGGCCCCTTTGTAGTTGATTTGTGCCAAAAGGGGCCACTTAACCCCACAGGAGCCAGGAAAACATCTCTGAGAAGTGGGTTTCACCCTGCCCTCCCCATGGGGGTGCCACTCCAAGGCTGGTCGCCGATCACTGACTGGGCTGTTCCAACATGATGCTGGTGTCACCGCACACAGAATGTTTCCAGAGGTGATGCTGGCAGTGACACTGAGACAGATGTGCCTGGCACCTGACTCCCTGAGCACGGGTTCACTCATTTCATTTTTTTCTGGATCCACAGGGGTCAAAGCCAACCTGCATGAGATCAGATGCTGGTGGAACCATGGCCAGCCCATGTCCTTGACCTGTGGGTCAGCCAGCTTGGTGACACCAGTGCCTTCCTGCTTCACAGGTCTCAGAGGAGGTCAGTGCTGCCAGAGAAGCAGGACCCCCGTGGCAGCAATCACAGGCAGCACAGGGCCTTCCTTGAGGCCAGCCCAAGGCTCCTCCCTTGCCCAAAGGACCAGCTGCCTCCTTGCTGCTGCTGCTGCTGGGAGATGGGTGCCTCTTGTGAGGAACCGCAGCCTCCAGCAGCCTGGCCACAACCTCGGAACTAATGAGTTTGAAGCCCCGTGGTTAATGAAGCTGGCCTGACTGCACGGAGACAAAGCCCGAAGCCTGCCTCCAGCTCTGCCCACAGCAAGCGGAACACGGCACTTCTGTGAGCTCACACAAAGCCTTCCTTGTGCAGGAGGGGATCCAGCCAAACAAGTGATCTCCTTGGCTGTATGTCTCCTGGTATTATTTTCTGGATTGTTCTAACTACCAAGGAAAATTTAACAAGTAAAAGCATCTGATAAAAATCTATTGACCCTAGTAGAACACCAACCCAGCCAAACCAGTCTGTACAGTACGACCTTCACAGCCTCTGAGACACGTTCACTCAATCACCTAGAAAAACAGATGCTGTGTGGTACTTGCCCTACCACCAGTGCAGAGCCTTTGCTTAAAGCTTGTGTTACTAAAGTGAGGGGAGATGTTTGAGAGCCAAGTGCTGCTTCC